TGAGTAAATTCGAGAAGCGCCCCCTAGCGGCCAAACAACCTCTTTAAAATTGAGTTCCAGACACGTGATAGAGATGAGTTTTGGTCTTGGCGTAACCCTTACAGATTGTAACGGAATTCTCATTGAACAACATCTGAAAAATCACATCAGAATTTCTAAAAGGTTACCCAGAAATTAAAAATGTATTCAAAAAATCTGAAATTTTTCTGAAAGGTCTTTCGGGAAATTCTAACAAAGGCTGTTCTGAAAATTGTTTTAGAAATCTTTATAGAACCTTTGAATCTCTGCAATTTCTAGACTTCCTGTAAATTGTTATTACCATTTTGTAACATCTGAAGAATGCTTTTAGCGTTCAATTTGATTTAAATATTGGCTAGAAAATGAATTTATGCACTTGGTTCTGAATTAAATGTACCTGCCTTATGGTACCAAAATATAATTCCACCGTATCCCTTCCGTTTTCAGAAAATTCGGTTCTGAAAAATCGCGGCAAATTTCACGAGTGCACTAAATTAAAATTAATGTACGAGTACTTTCTGCAGGATGCTTAATTTAGCGAAACTCGTTCCCACTGTTACTACTACCGTTTTCGGAAAATCCGATTCAGAAGAAATATAAACGTAAACCATGTAAGCAATGAAAACACGACGGAAAATATGATTTTATAAGAAACTTTGGTAATCTGAATTGGGAAAAAAAATGGAAACGCTCTTTATTTTAAGAAAAAAATGGACCTAGGTGTCTGTAGCTCGATTTTAAAAAGAAAATCACTAGCAAAAACAGAATTAAACTATCTCTAATCGTTTGGCCGGTAGGTGGCGATTCCCGAATTTAGTCGGTTTCTTTCTTATTATTAAAGATAATTGATTTTGGCAAAATCTTTCTTAGGGCACTTTTTTATGTAGAATCCATCGCGATTCAAAGTTTATATACAGAGGGTGTCTGGTTTTTCTCATACTACCCTAAACTACATTTTTTTCATATGGACCATCGTATACAGTGTGTCCCAGATCGCGTGGGATTGCATGTCTTATGTCATCGAAAGTATACCAGGTACAAAAGAAAGTTTTATATAAAAGTTACTGTCTTTGATAAGCTTAATTTAGAATTGATGTCAAAAAAATTCAAGATGGGTACTTTTGAGGAACATTTACCAACTTCCTAAAGTTAAATATTGGATTTTTAGAATACTTAATAGGTTTTTTAATTTTTTTTTCAACGAGCTATCATAGCATATGATTAAAAATAAGATATCAGTTATATCAACCGTTTTTGTATTTTAATCAAGCAGTCTGTGATGAATTAAAAAAAAACAAAACAGAATCTATTCGCGGCAACAAAACAATGAAAGTAATTACATCATATGTTCACAATATCAGGGGCGCACTAATGGGAGAGGGGGTTTACATACCTACAAAATGGTGATATAACTAAAAACTATCCCCCAAAAAAAGGCCGTTATCATAAGTATATGGGAAGCCATACGAACAGTGTTGCATTGTGGTTGTTTTACCCATAGACACTATGTTAACATCAGAGCTGGACAGTATTCGATTTTGTAAATACTTTTTAGTATTCAAAAACTTTGTAATTACATACTTTTATGGAAGCAGTATTTGTATTTGTAACTCAAATAGTATTCGAATACTTCGCAAGGTATTTGAATACTTTGAGAAATATTCGAATACTTCGCATAGTATTTGAATACAATTTTTTTTGAGGCCCGAAAAAAAGGCAGGGTATAATAACCTCCCTTTTTTACCAAAAATCGACTGCACCAAAATTTCTCGGGAAAACACTTTTTATTATTAATTTTGGTGTGTAGAAATCCAAAACAATTCGTACTTTTTCGATCAGACATCTCAATCAAAAGTTATAGACTAGAAACCAATTTCGAAAGAAAATTCAAAGGGCTGTAACTTTTGAACTAGTAGCCCAATCTTGGAACTGTTTGAAATTATGATTCTACAGGCCACATTCTATAAGAAAATTTCTTTTCCGGGTCGATCTGAGACAATTTTTTTTTCGGGGCTCAAAAAAAGGCAGTGTATAACCTTCCTTTTTTACCAAAAATCGACTACATCAAAATTTCTCGGGAAAACACTTTTTCTTATTAAGTTTGGTGCGTAGAATCCAAAACAATTCGTACTTTTTCGATCAGACTTCTCAATCAAAAGTTATAGACTAGAAACCAATTTCGAAGAAAAATTCAAAGGGCTGTAACTTTTGAACTAGTAGCCCAATCTTGGAACTGTTTGAAATTATGGATTCTACAGGCCACATTCTATAAGAAATTTTTTTTCCGGGTCGATCTGAGCCAATTTTTTTTTCGGGCCTCAAAAAAAGGCAGTGTATAACCTTCCTTTTTTACCAAAAATCGACTACACCAAAATTTCTCGGGAAAACACTTTTCTTATTAATTTTGGTGCTTAGAATCCAAAACAATTCGTACTTTTTCGATCAGACTTCTCAATCAAAAGTTATAGACTAGAAACCAATTTCGAAAGAAAATGCAAAGGGCTGTAACTTTTGATCTACTAGCCCAATCTTGGAACTGTTTGAAATTATGGATTCCACATGCCACATTCTATAAGAAAATTTTTTTTCCGGGTCGATCTGAGACAATTTTTTTTTCGGGCCTTAAAAAAGGCAGTGTATAANAAAATCGACTGCACCAAAAATTCTCGGGAAAACACTTTTTCTTATTAATTTTGGTGCGTAGAATCCAAAACAATTCGTACTTTTTCGATCAGACTTCTCATTCAAAAGTTATAGACTAGAAACCAATTTCGAAAGAAAATTCAAAGGGCTGTAACTTTTGAACTAGTAGCCCAATCTTGGAACTGTTTGAAATTATAAATTCTACAGGCCTCATTCTATACGAAAATTTTTTTCCGGGTCGATCTGAGACAATTTTTTTTTCGGGCCTCAAAAAAAGGCAGTGTATAACCTTCTTTTTTAACAAAAATGGACTGCACCAAAATTTCTCGGGAAAACACTTTTTCTAATTAATTTTGGTGCGTAGAATCCAAAACAATTTGTACTTTTTCGATAGACTTCTAAATCAAAATTTATAGACCAGAAAACAATTTCGAAAGAAAATTCAAAGGGCTGTAACTTTTGAACTAGTAGCCCAATCTTGGAACTGTTTGAAATTATGGATTCTACAGGCCACGTTCTATAAGAAAATTTTTTTTCCGGGTCGATCTGAGACAATTTTTTTTGAGGCCCGAAAAAAAAGGCAGTGTAACCTTCCTTTTTACCAAAAATCGACTGCACCAAAATTTCTCGGGAAAACACTTTTTCTTATTAATTTTGGTGCGTAGAATCCAAAACAATTCGTACTTTTTCGATGAGACTTCTCAATCAAAAGTTATAGACTAGAAACCAATTTCGAAAAAAAATTCAAAGGGCTGTAACTATTGAACTAGTAGCCCAATCTTGGAACTGTTTGAAATTATGGATTCTACAGGCCACATTCTATAAGAAAATTTTTTTTCCGGGCCGATCTGAGACAATTTTTATTTCGGGGCTCAAAAAAAGGCAGTGTATAACCTTCCTTTTTTACCAAAAATCGACTACACCAAAATTTCTCGGGAAAACACTTTTCTTATTAATTTTGGTGCGTAGAATCCAAAACAATTCGTACTTTTTCGATCAGACTTCTCAATCAAAAGTTATAGACTAGAAACCAATTTCGAAAGAAAATTAAAAGGGCTGTAACTTTTGAACTAGTAGCCCAATCTTGGAACTGTTTGAAATTATGGATTCTACAGGCCACATTCTATAAGAAAATTTTTTTTCCGGGTCGATCTGAGATAATTTTTTTTTCGGGGCTCAAAAAAAGGCAGTGTATAACCTTCCTTTTTTACCAAAAATCGACTACACCAAAATTTCTCGGGAAAACACTTTTTCTTATTAATTTTTGTGCGTAGAATCCAAAACAATTCGTACTTTTTCGATCAGACTTCTCAATCAAAAGTTATAGACTAGAAACCAATTTCGAAAGAAAATTCAAAGGGCTGTAACTTTTGAACTAGTAGCCTAATCTTGGAACTGTTTGAAAAAGGAAGTACTTTTAAGTTATTCAAATATTTGAGAACAATTTAGAAATGTTTAGGGAAAGTTTCCATTGTCACAAAATCAAATATAAAAATCCGATACAACTGAATACCGAACGTTCCTGGATGAAACTTTTTGACTCGATAGTCTACGTAACTTAAAAACAATAGGGACCTTTCTTATATCCTTAAGACCATGTGTACCAATTTTGAAAGCGATCGCAGGTTTCTAAACAAACTATCATGCACACGGACAAACGGATGGTCAAAAATGGATCTGTTCCAAAATCGCTAGGATTAATTTCAGAAAGGCGTACCTACGTATCATGTGCACGACGCTTTGAAAACTGGTACACATATTCTTAAGGATGTAACTGATATAAGAAAGGTCCTGGTAGGTACCTCGTATATAACAATATAATAATAATAATAACGCATTTACTCCCCTTAAATTTGTATATAACAATAGAAATATAAAAAAGCTAACCCCATACAAAGTATAACTTGATTTTTTAAGTAGTATTAAGACTTTTATCTAGTATACTATTTTAAATTTTAAAGTATATTTGAATACTTTTTACTGTATTCGAATACTTTTCAAAGTAAGTGAAATACTTTTCAAAGTATTCGAATACTTTTTATAGTATTCGAATACATTCTAGAGTATTTGAATACTTATTTTTTAAAGTACTTGGATACTTTACAATGTATTCTGTATCTAGAATTCGCTTGTGCTGGACATAAAAGTATTTAGTATTCAAATACCTTTGATTTGTGTAAAGTATTTACTATTTAGTATTCAAATACTTTTTATTCTTAAGTATTTTGCCCAGCTCTGTCTACAGTGTTGCATCAATATAACCACAAATAAAAAGTGATAAGGATAAGTGAATTAAAAACACCTTCGATTTCCGCAACCTTCCACGTGCACATTATAAACTCTGATAAAGCAACCGTTTCCAAAAAAAATGTTTGTAGTTTCACTGCGTTATTTTCAAAAAAACCCATTCTTTCATCGCATGAAATTAACCTTACATTTTCCAATAGTGTTGACGTACTCAATTGCGAAACCCTACCTGGAGGAGTTAAGCGGAGGCCACACGGTCGTAGGCGAAAAACTGACACTAAAATGTACATTGAAAGTCACTGTGCGATCCTCAATGGAATGGGTCACCCCTGACAGAAATGGGATAAGGGTACAATTAAGAAAAATGTAACCTTAGTCTACATGCATGTTTCAGAGCGGACGCATATCAGTTAGTAAATCAATTGCCGATTCAAATGAAAAGTACCATCAAATACTGACCATTGAGAAAACTAAACCGATTGATCAAGGCGAATACACTTGCATAGTTAAAGATCCAAATCATGTCAATAATAATACGAGATATGTTAGAATTTTTGGTAGGTCCAATGATATTTTTCCAAAGTTTTAAGCCTTTTACTTTAGACAAAGCTGAACATTTCATCAATTTAACTGAAGAAAATGGCGTCTATGAAATTTCGGTCAGTGCAGGCGAGCCAAGTATTCAATGGAGCATTAACGTCGAGGCCCATCCTTCCCCGAAGCTCGTATGGTAAGTTCGCACACTCACGATTCCAAAGTTTATTCTTAAAACGCAGGCTTGATAACCACAACACCGAAATACAGGCGGGGTGGGCCGATAACGGAAACAACAAAAAGTACGAGGTGCGAACCGAAAACCACGAAGCGTTTTTAAAAATTTTCGACATTACGATTTTCGATCGGGGCACCTACCAACTGAAAGCAATCAATGATTATGAAGAGAAAACCCTCAATTTATTCTTGAATGTCACAGGTAAACCGTGAATTAGTCTTCACGATTTGTAACACTTACCATTTCAGATAAACCAACCGTGCACATCGAAACCGACAGTTTCCATGTCATCAACCAGCAAAGTATCATCAAATGTAAAGTTGCGGCGTATCCCGACCCCTCGATTTATTGGTACTACCGAAACTGCTTGGATAACTCTTGCCAATTTGAACCAGTAATTCACCCCACCGCACATTTCCCATTTAAATTCAATCGCTATTTCAGAGGAAAGCCACTGGGACCGACACGCAAGGGTTACTGAAAACCTCCTTCCTAAATTTGACCTCGGATCAGTCCGGTTTTGTGATGTGCACAGCCAACAATTCTATGGGCTCGGACCGTTCCATCATGGGCCATTTTCTCACAGATGTCGATAACGGTTTCGGAATTTGGGGTTTCGACGAAGAAACGAAAGAAATTCACAATGAGATTCCTCTTTACCCCATCGCTCGAGGGGAGACTATCACCATGTATTGCGCCGCATCAAGATATAACTACACGGAACAGCTCAAGTGGTACAAAAACAACGGATCGCACTTCAATCCAATTGAAGAGAATGACCGTAAGTTTCCGATCGACAAATGAATTCAAGTCATGTCTTTACATTCACAGATTTTAAAATTGAGAAAAGCTCGACGGAGTTCTCGAACAAACTAACGCTCACCATACACCAAATTGGTTTCGATGATTCCGGTAACTATACATGTCAGGTTAAAGAAAAGTTTATCACAGATTCGCCGAAGACTCAGGACATGTACCATTATGATAACATCACGTTATCTATCAAAGGTAAAAGCATCTTTGTATAATACTTTGAAAGTCCTCCCATCTGCAGCGCTTACAGTAGTTGGATTGGACGTTCCAGCTTCAGTTCTACCTATAAAACCTTGTCCAAACCGCACGAATTTCTGAACTAGCCTGGTATTCATTTGTTCACTCAACAGTTTTAATTTGGTTTCTTCGTTCTTTGTTTCCACATATTAATTCCGTTTTCAGTAGTTCTAAATAAAAAATGATTCGGTGTTAAGGAAAGCAAAGATCTTCTGGATCTTCAGAGACTTACCTCAACAGCATTGTATAAATAATTGTCTTCTCTACTTAAGTTTTTTTGCGGTGATGTATTTACTAAAATTCCTTTATTGTTCTTTCTGTTTAATTTGCCTTAAAAATTGGATTTTCTTGTTCCTGAATTGCTTACTTGTAAACAATGAAACACAAAATAACCGTAAAGTTTTTTGATAAATTTACAACATAAATTAAGTGGTTCCAATATATACTTCCCATTTCTGCAAATAACTCCAAATTAACTAAAACGATCTACGTGGCCACGGTTTCTGTGAAATACCTAGCGTAAATACGAAATAAGAACAAAATATAAATATGTAGGATATATTTTCATGCACAATTTACATAATTACAATGAATCCATGAATTTGGAAACTTTGTTTACTGAACTTTTAACAAATTTCTTAAAACAGAATCCAATCCAATTTTAAGAGGTTCGACATCTAATACAAGAGTTAACAGTTGTTCTTTACCAATCAAATTACTTTAGATATTACCTTTGTTGGAGCTATAATCTATTATTAATTATGACAATAGTCCTTAAACAGATTCAACTATTTAATTGGACATAAATAAAATAGATAGCACTGTACCTTCTAAAACAAATATCCTTGTAGATAAAAGTCTGTGAATCAGAAAAAACACGGAACATTACATTGACAACGATACGCAAAATTAATCAGTAGATGCGTATTCGGAATCTTCCGACGAGAAACGTCTTTAGTTATAGAAATTTTGACCCTCGTTCTTCATTGGCTTACTTTAAGTGTTTAAGGATGAGCTTTTGTTTATCATGCAACCCAAAAATATGTTTTTTTATAATAATTTGAACGTTAACATATTTTCTACTAGATCCATCATCGCCCTTAATTACTGACACGAATCTCAACGGTTCCACGTTTACAATCGCACTCCCTGACGAGTTCCGACTATGGTGCTTTGCCGTCGGCATACCTAAACCCACAATAACCTGGTACTTGGTAAGTACCTCGCTGTGTTTTAAAAAATGCGTTGACTCCCTTTTCAGAATGGGGAGGAGATCGTTGAAAGGAACACGAAAAGTAGAATTACGTTCTTCCAAAACGACCACGTGCTTCAAATTCCGTTCACTCAGGTGGAGGACGAGGGCGAGTACACCTGTCGCGCCAAAAATAAAATTGGGGTTGCAGAAAAGAGGATATCGCTGCAGTTTAATAGTACGTCCCGAAGGTAATTTAATTACGCTAATTAAATCCGTTTGCAGATAAACCGACGGCTAATCTAATTTTCGTGTACGTTATTGTTGGGATTATATTCTCCTGCCTGGTGGTGTGCATTTACACCTGCCTCAGGTACAGGAAGGAGAAGGTATGCCAGTTGGCCATGAGAGCTGAGAGTGAATGCATTGTATTTTTAGAAACTAAGAAGGGAGTTGAAGAGAGCTGGTCTGGCAAATTTCGAGAATGGTGCGTTGGAAAGCCTAAACCCTGAGTTGGGTATAGACGATCAAGCTGAGCTATTGCCCTATGACAAAAAGTATGAGTTCCCCAGAGAAAAGCTAAAGTTAGGTAAACAACTGGGGTCGGGCGCTTTTGGCGTTGTCATGAAAGCCGAGGCAACCGGAATCGTTGAAGGGGAGGAAGTAACCGCAGTTGCAGTAAAGATGGTCAAGAGAAATGCGGACTACACGTACATTAAAGCGCTCGCTTCAGAGTTAAAAATCATGGTTCACTTGGGGAAGCATTTAAACGTCGTTAATTTGCTAGGAGCGTGCACTAAGAACGTTGCCAAGCGTATGTGGTAGACTTTCAGTAATCGAATAATATTTTTATATTTACAGGAGAGCTATTGGTCATTGTTGAATTTTGCCGCTTTGGCAACCTCCACAATTACCTTCTTCGCCACCGCAACAGTTTTGTGAATCAAATTGATAGCAAGACTGGAAAAATTGACTACACTTACGGCTCTGAGCTACTAGAACGCTCTTTTTCGGTTTCTAGTAACAAAAGCTGGTAGGTACATGCGCAATGCGTTTAGTGGAGTAAATACCAATCAGTGCTCATTTACTCTCTTTTGCATGATTATTTCTTCTTAAATTCTATAGTAACTCTCCTAATGTGAAGTATGCTGCATTAACGTTTTCACACAGTGACAACAATCCCTTACCAAGAGATATGGTTGATTATCGAGGAAACTGCAACTATAGTGGAAATACTGCAGTTACGGACACGACCATGGTTTCAATGACACCCACTGGTGGTAAGTTACCCCTATCGTCTCCGACTTGACTCACAATCGATCTGCAGGAGAAGACTGCTTAATGACCGGTAGTAACAGTAACAGTTCACAACCCGAATGGCGATCGAATTACCGCGGTGACTACAAAGGGACGGTCAAGCCGATCTGCACCAAGGATCTGATAACCTGGGCGTTCCAAGTGGCCCGCGGTATGGAATATCTCGCGTCACGAAAGGTGGGCGTTACGGTTCGGTGGACAAATAATCAATAAAGTTTACAGGTGCTTCATGGTGATTTAGCAGCCAGAAATATTCTGCTGGCGGAGAATAATATTGTCAAAATTTGTGATTTTGGACTAGCCAAGAGTATGTACAAAAGTGATAATTACAAAAAGAAAGGGGATGTAAGTATGCACTATTTGCAAACAATGACTTTAACCATCGCTACTAGGGACCATTGCCGGTGAAGTGGATGGCTGTGGAATCCATACGCGACCGTGTCTTCTCGACGCAGTCCGATATATGGTCTTATGGTATCGTGCTGTGGGAGTTTTTCTCATTAGCTCGAACTCCCTACCCTGGCATGGAGGCGAACGAAATTTTCTACCAGAAATTGGCGGATGGTTATAGAATGGACCAACCTGAGTATGCCACCGATGAAATGTAAGTTGCTTCTCACTCATTTTGTACAATCTGATTCTGAAACGTTCCAGATACAAAATGATGTGCGACTGTTGGCATCCAAAACCCATTGCTAGACCGACTTTTACAAAGTTATCCGAAAAAATTGGCTTAATGCTCGAAGATAGCGTCAGACAGGTAAGATCAAACCGGGTTTTAATAGCCGATTCATTGATCGTTTGTAGCATTATGTCGACCTAAACGACCCTTATTTGGTAATGAACACTCAACGCATCGAAGCGGGTCACAGTGACTATTTGGCAATGTTGAGTCCACCAGATTTTGAGCACCTCTCCTCCCCTCACCATTACGTTAATGATGACGTACACCTCAACGGAAACATTCCTGGTATGGACACACCTGGATACTTATGCATGAAACCTTCCAGTATATTCAGCCCCCGCGAGCAGTGTGATACAGTTTTCAATTTTGACGTGGACAATAGTAATAGAAAACATAAAAATAGTGACACTGAACTAGCGTTGGGCACCGAACTGTTACCGATGCTTCATACTCAGAACGAATCAGACTGTGAATTAAGTCCCTGTGTCAAAACGCCCACAAGTTTTTCAAATCCGTCTTATCATATGCCCCCCATTATTATGGAAAAGACTGATGAAGATATTGTGAAAACCGCGGACAATTACGTCAACATGCCACAAAACAAAAATGCCATGAAAAATGAAAAAAATCTTAAAGAATGCATTAGTGCCACAAATGAAAAGGATGCGAATCACTACGTTAATAACAATACCCGGGATTGGGAACGAGTGCAGGTTTAATGTGCGTCTAGAGGGTCTGTGTATTACAAGTGCATTTGGTTGTAATTTAATGAGGACCCGTTGATGAGCATGAAAAGCACGACACTCATTTATGAGTATTATCAGAACAGTACACAAATATTTAGTGCAACAATAAGAGTACCTGAAATTGCACGTAAGGACAACATATCCAAACAATATTATATATTGTGCCATATATCATCTCAATATTTAGTCATTAGACATAATTGTGTGTATGAAATAGTGCTTGTAAGCTAGTTCTGTGATGAATACCCGACATTATGTTCGATATGCTCTGCGAAGAGATTGTGCAGAGTACATTTAACTATGTCAAAGCGCCTTTTTATGTACTTTCATTAGGTAAACCTATTTAATACGACTAAATCAATGAACATATGAAACAAATGACCGAATCGGAAATCAATGGCCCCAAGAAGATATTGCTGATCAGCTTTATCACAAAATGATTGAGCAAAGGAAAACAATACTGAAGATCTCTATTATGTATATAAGGATAAAGTACGAAATTAGATTAAGGGAATATAATCGTGTTTTTATTTATATATTTTATGTATATAAAACCAATATATGACGCAAAATGTGATTTTCATGTTGAAAATTACTCAAATTTTTCATTTTCGCACACCCTAGGGACCACGTACAAAGTCTATAAAGGTCTTTTTCTTATACATTTTGACTTGTAGAAACCAATATATCCCGAATTTTCAAGAATTGGGCGCCTACATTAAAAGTTATAAACAAGAGACCATTTAAATTTCTAAAAAAAAATAAAACGTATTTTCGGGCGAAAAAATACATGCCCGAAATTGACCGGGAAAAAACAATAGTTGTTCTCTTATGATGACAGCGATGCTGTTGGAACGCGTTCGATATTTTAAATTTTATTATAATTACCTTGTGGTCTATTGGTGTTTTTGTTTTACTTTTGCAAGTTCAATAGCCACAAGTAGTTCCAGTGCTTCCAACATAAATGCCTTGAATTTAATAGTTATTCAATGATAAATGTGTGTGGGATACGCGCTAATTTGGAAAAGTAGTCATTGAAAAGGATATCGTTCTGACATCTAACGTACGTTTACGAACTGAACGCTTTTTGTCGTTACTAAGTACACGAAAGTAAATTACCACTTGTAGGTAAATAGTAGATTTCTTTTACAAATCGCAGGGAGGGTGCGAGATTTGTAGGAAGTACCCTATTGGTAACATTTATACAGTACATCAAAACGCGTAATTCTTTTGATTTACGTCAGATATCCACACGATGCATTTAATTTCATTTTTGCTAGGTAAAAATGGCATTGCCATTCCATACTACTTCCATATTCTTCTTGAGATTAATTTATTTACTATTACCTGCTGCCCATTTGGCATAACTCGTGGCGCAAACAAACTGTGTAATTTATAAGTACACAGTACGATGCTTATTGCTCCACAGTATGTACCTTTGATTCAAAGGTATGTACCTACGTTATACCATTGTATTTAAATACAATTGGTTATACAAACCACACTGTAATATTTGAAATTACCTAGAATGGTCGGAAAGGTATATCCAGAAGGCTTACAAATGCTAATATAAGATTTTCGAGTCTTTTAGATGATCTCCGTTCCTTTCAACAGGATCTTGAGATGATCTTAGTGTTAAACGTGCCAGAATTTCAAGCAACAAGCTGATAACAAAGAGTAACCTTTGCTGATAGGTAATAGTAGAGAAACAAACCAAGTGGACGAGCTTTGGTCATAGAATAGATGAGTACTGAGGTAGGTAGCTGGAGATGTCATAGATGTAGAAACAAGGATAGCTAGAAAATAATGGGCCCCTAAAAAAAAGATTATTTAAAAACATTTTAAGAAATTCCGGTGTTATTGTCTAGCTAAAGCATTCACCTTTCACAGGAACATTCGACCCCTTCATCATCTTCACTCAGAATTCAGATATCGTGGAAGGAAATCAAGCGGTTTCGGGCAACGGAACAGGTGTACTGTCCAGCCTGAAGGGCGACGAATTGAACTAAAATATTTTCAAGATTCACTTCCTCAAATACCGAAGGTGGCCATCAACTTTGTTATTTTAAAAAGGAACATTCTACATTTTCCGATTTCGATCGATCGTCGAATTTGGAATACAACGATACCCCATAATTGACCCTTTGCTCCAAGGGGTTCGTCAATATAGATTCACGTCATTCACGTTTGCATGTCAAAAATTGAATTTGCAGAGGTTATTTTAAAAATGTATTAATCGAAAACGGTAAGATATATTGTAAAACAGTTTTCACGACTTTATTAAGGAAAGATCGAATTTTCTTATGGTATGCGTGTAATCGTCTAGAAAAATGAAACTACGTCATTTTTAAAAAGCTCTAAACCTTTAAATTTTTAAATTTCCGAAACCATTTTTTTTTCTTCACTGTTATTTCCCTTTTTCCGAGACCTTTAATTTGATACACAAATGTCAAAGGCTGCTTCAAACGGTTTCCGAGATATTCCATGTTTTAGTTACTGCTTGTAGTAAACTGATAAAAAAATTAAGTCGCTTGATGTTTGGTTTTATTATGATAACGTTTAAACGTCAAATTTTCGCTTTTTGAACAGTTTTGAACTTTTATTTCTGGTCAATAATGACTCGTTTGGGTTACATTAATGAAGATTTTTGAATTTAATATTAATACACGGTGAACGTAATCGAATAGCAGCCAGGACTTGCCGTCGTTTTTCCGAAAGATACCCTGACAAGGCGCGACCCTCAGAGGATATAATTACTACAAAATTGCAGGGATAACGGTAAAAATACAAAAAAGAAAACCTGTGGTAGACTCTGAAGAACAAGAAATACCTGCACAGGCTAATTTTGCTGCAAATCCACCTGCATCACCGAATGATATTCAAAGGGGAATTGTCACATCAGACACGAGTAGCACAAAGAATACTCAAAAAGCAACATAAATGGCGATCATGAACGCAGAATTCAATGTTGTGAGCGAGCTCATAATGCGTGGGCAATTTCGGATTATCTGGAGCAAACCTTTAATGGTAACTGGATCGGTTATTTAGGCCCTTAGACATGGCCCGCACGTTCGCCCTAGACTTTTCTTCTTTGGAGAAATATCAAAGATATGGTTTATGAAACACCACCAACAACAAAAGCTGATATGGAGATTGGATAGACGAGTTAGAGATGCTTTCAATTCATTAACAGCTCAACAAATTAAAAGGGCAACTCACGGAAATGTCATAAAAAGGCTAGAAACATGTTTAAACCAAGAGGGAGGAATATTTGGGCACATTTTAAAACGTCAAGTGTAGATATTCCATACTTTTGTTACTTTTATTTGATATGTTTTCAATTGTTGAGTTTCTTCATCCGTAAATTAAAAGTCTTCTCATGTGATTCTTTTCATATTATGAAATTAAAGTAAAGGGTCAACGATGGCGTATCGTTGTACTCCAAATTCAACGTAAAATTCGAAAATGTAGAAAAAATAGAGTGCATTTTTCCCAAATTTTGTGCATAAAGGCGTAGTCGTAATCATTTTCACTTTTTACGTTAGCACCACCCTGGAAAGGACATATAAAGCTGTGGTAAACGCGTATAACGTTTTGGAAAGAACTGTACCTATTTTAACATGTGAATCAATTTTTTCATGAATAACATTCTATGCCCATTTCCCAAAATGCCTTGAAACTATTACTAAGGCCACTAAGGGTACAGCAAAGGTACGTTTTTAACTGCCGTATCTTGAATTTATTCATCCAAAAGATTTACACTCTGAATTTGTAAGCATTAGGTAATTTGGATAGGACATACAATGGGGGGCAACTTACTCTGTTGCACATTGAATCCATCTTTAAAATCAAACTAAAACATACAAATAAAAGTATAAGTTCACCTTATAACCTTATGCTTATAATAGTTAATATACAGGCATTTTTAGGGATTTTAAATTTCATTTTGTCGGTGGATTAAAGCAAGGGCCAGCTTCATCCTTAGCTCTCGTTTTGGACATGATATTTGATTCGTTCTCACTCTCAGTACACTTACTTAAATAAAGCCCCGAGGCTACATTCCTCTCGCATACTAGACCCATTTGACCTAGAGTGCAACGCACTGATTGCAATGAAACCAAATTGAATTCAATAAAACGTTATAGAAGTCGTTTATTTAAATACCGACAGCACTACTACATAATTAATATATATATATATATTCCCGTCATATTCCTCACTTCTTCTCACCCTTAGATGCACAGCAATTACACTTGCAATTTGCGGCACAGTTGCAACCACTGCAGCTACTGGGAGAGCAAGACCCGTCTAAAATTTACAAAAAATGTTTAAAACCAAGAAAAAAAAAGGATATCTACGTACCTTTGCATTTGTCCGCGGAGTTGTCGGTCGGATGGCAAGGCATTTTGATTTCTGAGCGATATTTCTGTGCTTATATCGTGAATGATGAATTTGAAGTGCCTGCACCAAACGGCGAGCCTCTATTATATGGGTGCCCCGCTCCCAATTAAATAAAATTACTGGAGAATATTCACGTCTTGGTACGGACACCACAACAAAATCTCTGGTGTATAAACAGGTTTATTGTTTAAACATAATTATGGGAACGTGCGGGAGATTCTATTGTTCATTTATTGATCTGTAAGGTCATTCACTAGATCTTCCAAGTGCAGATTTTTTCGTTATTAATTTTTTTATTTAATTACATTGTGTGTATAAATAATTAAAATTTCACGTACGTTACCTACACATGATCTTGAACTTCTCAATCAAGATTACGACGTAGATTTCAGAAATTGCCTTTTACAATTAAATACATTCTACTGTTTAATTGTCTAAATTGTACTTTGATTTGTAGATGGGAAAATCTAAGTGTAAATTGTGATGTATTTATACATCATTAACTAAATTGCTTTGAGCAAAACTGACTTTTTATTGCTATAGAAGAGATTTGTTTTATTTCTACACTTGTTACATTTCTGAAAGGAGATGAGAACGATTTTAATTACTCCACTGCATATTCGCCATAGATGGGGTGCTTTCAAAGGCTGGGACTAGATTTACGTCATTGTGGTCACATCTCGTCTAATGAGCGCTGACATTCTGGAAAATTTGAAGGTGGCCGATGCTTTATTAGCAAAATGAAAGGTCTCGTATACAATTTTATACATAAATTGAAAGTTAATTGCAATAAGTGACAATACGTCTACGTTGTATGTGCTAAATCAGGCTGACAACAATTTATTATTTAACTATGGGAAAATGTTGCATTTGGATTCCGTCTTTAATGCAAATTGCCTTTATTGACTAAAAACTTTTCTTGTGGCTCAAAATTAGTACCTACCATAACTTTCATAGTACAATATTCCATTCTTGTCTGCGTTTTGTGAATTTACAATAGTCTAAATAAATCACACAAATAAAAAATGACTAAAATGAGGGTTTGTTACGAAATTTTTATAAATGCCAGATTTTCAAGTAAATAAATAAATTTTTTATTCAATGCTCAAACTCAATCCGGATTAACTATACGGCCAAATGGGAAATCACCACCTTCAAAAAGTTGGTGAGGACGAAAAATGCTGGATTTTTTCCATTATTGGTTTTGAGTAGAAAAAATCGCACCAATGCATTACACGGCAAATTAATTCATTTTAAGACTAAATTTACGTTATAATATAAAAAAGGTAATGTTCTATAGATAAAAGGACCTGGAGTATAATAGATCAGGATACTCTTGATCGAAAAGTAGTACTAAAGCTTCATGATTTATTTCGAAGTTTCATTTCAAGTTATAGGTAGAGTTTTTGAAGTTTTAGAGATTTAAGTGAATGTTAAAGATTGAGCATCATCGAAATTTTCAGGTTATAACAAATTTGCGGTTCTGAATTATTTCTCAGATAAATAGTGGTTGTGTGAGAAGTCGAAAGAATAAATGGGTCTATATATCTTCCTGCGTGCTTGTTTTCGATAGGGTTTTTGTTTCTTAATTACCTTAGGAAGATCGATAGTGCGATATACAGACTGAGATTTGTATCTTATTTCACCTTTTTAATGAAGAATATTGAGTAGCTACCACATAAAAGGGGTTCATTATTCTACGAATAATTTATAGCAAAAATATATTGTCTGTTTTTCTACAATCGATATCCAAAGTAGGCATTTGCGCTCGTATTTGACAACGCAAACGTCATCTTTTTCGAGGAATGTCACTTTGTCGCTTAAGCGACAAAATAGAAAAAACGCTCGCTCTCCCAATTATTAACTATAAATCAAATATGCATTGCTCAGAGTATCCAATGACAACGAGTAAATGACATCTTTCATTTGGGCATAAGATTAATATGATTTGAGTGAAAAATTTAAATTTCTGGAAATATGTGAACTGCTCGATTGTAGAAAAAATCTTGTGTGTAATTCGAGCGCAAATTGATTGTCGATTTCAAGAGATTGCCGCGCTCCGTCGCGCGTCAACTGTCTCTTTCAATCGACAATATATCATTTTGCGCTCTTAATACACAAATAGCTATAGTGAATCCTTGTATAAGGAATCAACTGTACGACAACTTTACAATTCGAACTTCAGTTTTACATTATTTACCTATATCAAGTAATCAATCGAATTGAAGTAGGTGCCGATACTGTGACCTAATCCTAATGCAATAATTTTGTATTATTGATCAAACTCTCAACAAGAAGACATGACAAGTGACGTCGAAGCTGCCATGAATCGCTTTGAATATTTTCGCAAATGGAATCAAGAAACGATTGCAGAATGTTGTTCGCTCTCCAAAATTAAACGTTATAATGAAAATAGTATTATATTAGGTGACGGTTTTGGATTAGCAAATTACGTGTATTTCGTGCTGAATGGAAGGTGCAAAATTGTAGAGGAACTATACGTTGAGAACATAAAATCTCGGTACAAGCTTCTCAAACCAGACAGGTAATTAGCAGTAAGTAAGTGTTCTAATTATCTTTGTTTTTCAAAATGTTATGATAATATGCTATGAAGGTGGATTAACGATCAGATCGCGTGCTCCATTAAAATTAAAACTAACTAGAGTCATGCGTGTTTGAGATATTGGCATTTTTAGAGATGTCCACCAGCAACAAGCAACAAACTCCACAAAAACGAAAAATCTTCCACCAAAGGCTGAAATGCACTTTATGCAAGTAGGTAAGTTTTACGGATCTCAACACCTTTCAAGCAATAGAGCTGTTAGGTTTGCATACTGAATCCGCTATCATGCTTCGGCTTTGGCGAAGCCATGGAAGGCAGAAGAGTAATTTCAACCGAACCGACTGAATGTTTGCTGATCCCTCACTACTGGTTAACTCAACAGACTTTGAACAACTTGTGGAATAAGATTGATATTTTTCTACGTAGACACATACCGTCAACAAAATATGTGTTCCATGAGTTTGTAAATCAAAGAAAGTGGAAGAAGAATCGGGAGAATATTTCCAGACAAATTTTATCAGCAAAGAAGGGTAGCAGCGGGAATAAAGTATCCAACGTTCCTTATTTTTTGAGAATTGGCAAAAATATAGATAGCTATTAAAGCAAGTGGTTATTCGTTCCCTTTGTTTTATTTATCACTCGAGAAATAAAGTTTTTAATTGTTCTTTTCTTGATTATGTTTCATGTTTGGTGGATTGGATGGATCTCCATCCCAGGTTCCTCACACCAGAACAGAAACTTGTCAGGAAGTTTACGAGGAAAGTATATCCAAGAAATCGATATTTTTTTAAACAATGAATGAAAACGCAATGTTTAACGGAAAAATGGATATACTAATGATATTCTTGTGTTGTGAGCGGATTCTATTGATTGAGTACGAGAAAAAAGGGTACTTCAATTAACGGAATTTGGATCTCCATAGGTGCGGAAGTACGCAACTTTTTTTTAAGTACACTAAAAGAAAGTCCTATTCATTCTCTATGCACTGATAAAAATAGGTTACCATGATTACAACCGTTTTCAAGTAATCAACCATGTACCATCTGCATCCGCCATTTCTTTTCTTAGAGTCAAAAAGAACTGAAATTTCACGTAGAATCCAAAAATCCAATAAAAATAGGGGTTGCTATTTAAAATAACGAAGTTACTATCTACTACCGGTGTTTCCGGAAGTGCGGCCATTTCGAAAATATTTTACATCGATTCGGCCTTCAGAGTAACTCCTAAATCGTAGGTAAGTACAAAATTTCAAAAACCTACCTATTTTACTTTCCCAGAAACGTTTAACTAAAGCTCCTTAATATTCAGAAGCGTGAAACAGAACGCGACTTCTTAGGTCGTTAATATAATATACCTATGTCCCTGTAGGTTCGGGAGTTCGGGATTCTACTCCCTACAGGGACATATATTATATTAACGACCTAAGAAGCCGCGTTCTGTTTCACGCTTCTGAATATTAAGGAACTTTAAAAAGGATCGGAATTTAAAAAAATTTGTGCACAACCGAGGAACTTCAAAAGCAATTTTGGTACAAAAAAAAGTAATTTGGAAGTTCCTGCTATCTCTTAATTCAATTTTTGGGGTTTGTGGTCCTAGTCATAGGATATAAAAGGAGGTTATACAGTACAAGTTTTCCCCTTTAAACCTAACATTGACGTTTCCAAAAATTTACTTTGAACTTATAATAGTAACGAATATTTAATTGCACACATTGAAATTTTATCAGTAAAACTAGATCTTGAAGATTAAGAATTTTCACGTTTTATTGACTCGTCAATTATTGTGGAGTTTTCTTATCGTTTGGCTAAAAATGGAAAACAATTTTAGGAAATACCCGATGATTCATTGTTTGGTCAACAGTTTATTATTCGACATTCTATAGTAATTTGTAATCACCTTCAAGGCTATATTATGTTTCCCCTTTTTTCTTTTAGTATATTGCAATGTTTACACTTTACAACAAATTTTCAATGAATTTTTTGACGTTGATTTAGGAAAACAACGTAATTTTATTTTCGTTTTATGAAGCGTGCCCATAATTAAAAGAGTGAAGAAGAGCCCGACCAGCCAGCACTTAGGCACACCAAAGACCCATTGTCCGTTGTCCCTCCCTCCTTTCTTCCGCAACTAGGTTCAGATCTCGTTCCTCTTAATAAAAGATAGGACCCTGTTTAGCCTAACTAAGTTGTTTCACCCTCCCCGGTTCCAGATAACTGTCACCAAGGAGCTGATGTCTGTCTTTGACCAAGGCATCACAGTGACAGACCACATGCTCGGTAGCCACAGAATCAGCACGAGGGCTCTTCTACAAGCCCAAAGTTGTGCAGGAGATAGTTGATCATCCAGTGCTGCGTAAGGACCCAGGTATGATCTAGCTTCTGTTCAATTTTAGAAGCTTAGAAGACCCAGGTTTGCCAAGGGGTGCTGTTAAAAAGGCCGGTTGCTTGTTGCGACTAAGCCTGGAATTGACTGATGACTTTGCTTCCGAGAATGGCGCAGATCCATCTTACGATTGACCGATCAATGCAAAAGCCTTCAGCAGCCTCACTAATGGAATCGAACGTGGTGTTGGTTAACGCGCCCTCGATATCTAAAGACGCTCCGACTGTTCTTACACCGACTCCTTTTGGTGGGACCGAAGTTACGTAGTCCCCCGAGCCTGGAAAGTATGTTTCCAGGAGACATGTAAGAGCCTCGCCCGCGATAGACGTATATCTGCCGCATAGAAGCCTCAGTGTCACCACTTTTTACCCCGGGTCTTTCAAAAAGATCTCAGGAAGTTTTTGAATTTCAAGAAGACCTTTTATGATCCCCGGTTAGATCTTCTATGAGCGATCTTGAAACCTTCCCAGGCAGGCCTGCGAACCTCCTTAAGTACCTTTTTCCACCGAGGTGTTCTCTTCCTTCCTCGTCGGCAGTTTACAGCTGTCCTCAAATGACGCTTAGTAATGCGGCCGCCTCTTCCATTGACCCTGCTTTCCGCCAGAGCAAATATGGCCCTCAAATGAACACTACAGGCCCCTCAAAATTCAGTAGAGATTTCTAACTTCAAATTGTTGCATTTATATAGATTACAACTACGGTTACAATTTTGATGGCCGACGAGGCCACAGGTAAAAAAGAAATGCAGCTATTCCATGATTCCTAAGGTGTAGCTGCAAAACCACAGCAGCAAACATGTTTACAGAAAGAAGCTTGCCCAATGCTCTCATTTGTCCTCCATTTACTTATATTATTTATTTAGATTTTTTTAAATTTCTACTAACGAGATAGGGTAAAGCAATAATAGATAACCTTTGACCAAAGGTTGTCGACATAATAATTTTACTGCCACAAATTGAAAAAAATGTGTCTATTAACAACTGTAGTTGTCGAACTTTAAAAATTGTTTAAAACGCTCGTTTGCAGAAGATCTTGTACAATGATTCACGCAATAATATTAGTGCGCAATTAAGGGTTACGTTCTGTGCCGAGCAAATTGAAATGTACACGGTAATTGCGTTCGTTATTGCAATTTTAATTAGTACCAACAGCGCTACACTTAATAAAGTGAAAACGGACAAGTTTGATAGCTACAGCGTATTTTTAAATTATGGCGGCCAAAAGGTTTCCAAATTGGTCAAGGGTAATTTAGAAAACGCAGTGATTAAGTCAAAAGTTGAAGTGCTGGGTGAGGTATTCAAGAAACATATAGACTCAATTAAAGTTTGGCCCAAATTGGATATAGTATTTTTGATAGATGCTTCTTCAAGTGTTGGCGAGGATAATTTTAAAAGTGAACTGAAATTTGTTAAGAAATTACTTAGCGATGTTGTTGTTGATTTTGATCATTCCCGTATCTCTGTGGTTACTTTTAGTTCTAAAGACAGTGTGGTAAGTCCAACTTTCTTTCAGCTGTAGAAAAATTCACAAACAAAACTTATTAGTAAATTTTAGATAACAAATATTGATGGAATAAGTAAACCTGGTAAGCGAAACAACAAATGTTTATTGCTGAATAAAGAACTGAGCAACATCAGGTACATCGGTGGAGGTACCTACACAGTTGGAGCGTTTGGAGCCGCAAAAGTAACTAGCACAACTAAACAGTCGCAATTTACATCTACTTACTTGCACAGGATATATTTCAACACAGCCGCAATGATACCAAAAAGATTTTATTTTTGATAACCGATGGTTACTCGAACGGAGGGGATCCTGTGCCTCTATCAATCGAATTAAAAAAACAGGGTGTTACCGTTTTTACCATTGGGATCCGGAATGGAAACTACAAAGAGCTGTATATGTTATCGTCGTCGCCAGGAGAATACTACAGCTACCTGTTGGACAGTTTTGAAGAGTTCGAAAGCTTGGCTCGTAGAGCTTTGCACGTTGGTAGGTTTTCCAAGTATTTGTTTTGGGGGTTGAAATCGATCACTTGTAGACATAAAGGACGGAGACTATTTATCTCTGGGCAGCAGTGCACCTTGTAACAAACTGTGCGCTACCGGTAACTGTTGCGATGATAACGCGGTCTGCACGTGCGGAACATCTACTGGGCACTATACCTGCTTGTGTAATCCTGGGTATTACGGGTCGGGTTTAAGAAACTCGTGCTTTGGTGCGTATCGCTTCTGAAACAGTTTTCTTTAGAGTTTCGATGTAGCATGCCCTTCGGGATCTTTTGCTGATGGACCCAACAGTTGCCTGCCGTGTCCGGACGTTCACCACGTTACCACCCCTCCAGCGCTTGGTATTAAAAGTTGTCAGTGTAAAACGGGATATAGGGCAACTGATCGGAATGGTTGTGAAAGTAAGTTAACATTCTTTAGAGGCATTGCATTAGCTGGCGTGGTTCACTAGCAATCAAGTGTCCAAAGCTGTCTCCACCTGAGCACGGATACTTCGTTCGGAAGAAGGATTGTGGAAACGTATTAAACAACGCGTGTGGTGTGCGCTGTGAGGTCGGCTATACTTTAATTGGTAGCAGCATTCGATTGTGCCAACTTAGTGGTACTTGGAGCGGTGATCCACCTTCATGCCAAGGTGCTGGGTAATTGTAATTTTTTGTTAATCTCCATGTGATTGCAGTAAAAACATGTAGTGCCCTTTCGGCACCCAGTCACGGTTTTATCTCGTGCGAGCACAATGATTTGGGAATAAAATACAATCGGACCGACGAGCCACTTCCTGTTGATACTGTATGCGAATTTAAGTGTGAAAATGGACGGACAGTGGTTGGTTCCTCACAACGAACGTGTCTACCGTTGGCTCAATGGGATGGCTTGAAAGTATCTTGTAAATTGATAAAGTGCAACAAGCTCTCCAACATACCTTTTGGAACGATTGAACCAAAGTCGTGCACTACTGCTAAACAGTCATTTGGTAAAAAGTGTACCTACACCTGTCAGGAAGGATTCAAAATAAGCGGACCTTCAGAACGGATTTGCACAGGTAGGCATGGAATTTGGAGCAATAAGTCGAAACAGAGCTACTGTGAGGGTAAGCACCTACTCAATTTGAATGTGTAAAATAAATCGCAATTACAGACGTTACCCCACCTACGTTAGAATGCCCTCCCGATATTGTCGGGCATACGAGTTTGGATAAAAAATTTGGTACAGTTACCTGGAATGCACCCAACGTGACAGGTAATTTTGCAAATATCCTCAAATTTTTCATCCAATTCCCTAGATAACTCTGCCCTGAACGTAAGTGTTTGGTTAAAACCTGCAATTAAAAACATCTCCGCGTTCAAATTCAAAATCGGAAGGACGATGGTAACGTACTTTGCTCAAGATATTGCCCAAAACACCGCGCAATGTAGTTTTACAGTGGAAATTCAAGGTAAACTCCTCGCGTCAGTTGCAAATACCATTTTTACCATTTGTAGACATCCAACCGCCATCGATCGAAGATTGTGTGGACCCAATCCCATTTCTGTCTTCAGACACTGATGGTGCAAATATTACTTGGGATGAGCCAATGATCTTCGACAATTCAGGGTTTGTTACGGTAAGACACGCCACCAGATTGCAACGTTATCTCATTTTTCCTACCTAGATCGCCCAATCACACGAATTTGGCTTTTTCAACGTTGGTACGACATCAGTAAAGTACACGGCGACAGACGGTTCAGGAAACGTTAACACTTGCACATTGAATATCACGATTATAGGTATGTAAAACTTGCTGAATTTCTCAGAGTGCTTCTTTTACAATATCAGAATCGCAATGCTCGCCTTTGCCTGACCCAATTTTTGGAAGAAGCGAGTGTGTCTCTCTAAACAGTAGCATCCAGTGCGTGGTCACCTGCCAAGACGGTTATGCTATTCCAATTGCGTCCCCCGGTGATGTGTTGGATGTCGACAGCAGCGGATCGCAATTTTTTTGTGATAACTCGGACGCAATTTGGTATTCCAAAGAAAATAGCGCATTTCCTGATTGTACAAGTGAGTTGCGTACAATTTTATTATTAGAATGCAAATATTCCCATTCATCCTGAACAAAAAACCTTGTACTAAAGTAAGGGGGTTGAAAATTTTCCTTCCAGTATTCTTATTCCATTTAACATTTGCCAAAATGGTAAACAGATTGGTTTTCGTTGTACTATTTAGTACAAGAAAACGTCTTTAAAATATTCCCGGTGCTAGAGAACCCGAAAAAGCTTTAGAAAGTTCCTAGAAAGAAAGTGTACCTACAGTTTTGTGTGGAATCTCTCTATGGAGTCTATCAGTGACCTAAAAAACCTTTGATTTTGATTTTTTTCTTTCAAAAAATTCTTTAAAATTTTATAAACCCTGCTTTCCTTTTGATTTTCACTTATGACTGAACCATAACAAAAATGCTTTTAGTAACTCAATTACCAGTGGAAACGACTCAAAACGGTACAGTCACATTCCTAAAAGAGAGCGAGGAGGATATCTGCAGCAACTCCAGCGCTTTAACTGAGGTAAGTATAAAGCTAGACTTTCCGCACTTTTGATTTCATCAAAATTCTAGATTGCAAATGACTTATCCGTTACGTTAGGCATTAATATTCAAGAGACGTGCACAACAGGCATTTCTTGCAAAATTAATACAAGCGTTGTTTGCGAAAGCCTCGAAGAATCGGATTATGAAGAGAAGACCAACATTATCAAACGAGAAACCTTGGGCAAGCCCACCAAGAGAAAGAGGCACAAAAAACAACGCGTGAAGATCAATTTTGAAATTACGGCTAGTATCTCGGACACTGTTAACGCGACTACATTTCGAGAGCTTCCAAAATTAGACAAAATTCGCTTACCGGACAACACTACGGTTAATGTCGCGATTGATCACAGTGATTTCAGGTGTCCTTCGGGACATGTACGTAGAAAAATGCGTTGCGGTAAGTTTTCGACAAATATAAAGTAATTGTTCTAACTCAACATTCAGTACAGTGCCCAAAAGGTACTTTTCACAACGTTAGCACTGGAACCTGTCACAGTTGCCCCATAGGTTTTTACAGTGATAAACCTGGACAAAGTAGTTGTACCATTTGTCCGGTGAACCATTCGACTAAAAGACTGCATTCCAAGTCAATTAGTGCATGCATAGGTGAGCCTAAATTTACCTGAAGGGTTTAGTGTAAGAGAAACTTGCAGCGCACTGCCCGCCCGGAACGCATAGTCGCAGAAGAATTTTGAAACCTACAAAGCATCATCCAAACACAACCATTACCCACATGACGCTTAGGCCTCACTGCCGTTCCTGCTCTATTGGGCATTATCAAGCTAACTATGGGCAGTTATCATGCCGCGCCTGTCCAGATGGATACACGACGCCATCGCATAAATCAACGTCGTTGGAGGAGTGCATTTTGGCGGAAACGCACATCTGTAACTCTTCGAGCGTGTGCAACACCGGCAAGTGTGTTGAAGAGGATTCTTTTTATTACAGCTGTTCGTGTGACAACCAATACATAGGTACACAAAGCGCATAATTGTGGTTTATCTTAGGTGACATTTCAGGTTCCCACTGTGAAACCAAGGTTTCAAAGTGCGCGTCGAACCCTTGCTTGAATGACGGAATTTGCACACCAACGTCCGAAGATGCTTTTAATTGTCAGTGCAAAGAAGGGTATTCTGGTGAAATATGCGAGGAAGTTGAAGACAGATGCTCGAAGAACTGCCTCAACGGTGGAAAGTGCGACAAAAATGATGACGATGTCGAAATGTGCGTTTGTTTGGAAGGTTCGACTGTTCTTCATTTTCCTCCGGCATTTCAAATTGTTTGCAGGATTCGCCGGATCATTCTGCGAAACAAAGTGGAGCTATTGTTCTACTGGTATTTGCGAGCATGGAACCTGTCGTGAGGATACGCAAGGGTATCGTTGTCTATGTAGAGACGGATACATGGGGAAACGGTGCAATATTTTACCGTGCGATTATAAGCCGTGCGCAAATCACTCCGTATGCATGAACTTAAATGTTGCAAACGCTACACGGGCTAGTTATCGGTGAGCTGGAAGCTTCTCGTTGGTGTCTTAATGCGCACTTTCCAGATGCGAATGCCCAAAGAATTACGAAGGCCCAACTTGCTCAACTCTCATAAACTACTGCGCAAGCAACCACTGTTTAAATAACGGAAAGTGCACCAATAGCGAGGAGGGTCCCTTTTGCAACTGCCCAAAACCATACTATGGCAGCAACTGCCAGCAAAAACGGAATAGCGACTATATTCTAAGATTTCCAAGATCAGGCACAACTGATTTTGTTAAACTGAATGGATTCGAACAAAATCTCACAGAGGTGAGTGTCTACTTTCTAAACTCACCAATTTAATCAACCGTTCAGATCTCCACTTGCCTTTGGATGGTCACCAGAGACAACTTTAATTACGGCACATTATTATCGTATGCTACTTACGAATTCGACAACACGTTCACACTAACGGATTACACAGGGTAATTTTTCAGGCTCCTCTCTCTTTTTAACGTGATTTTTAGGATGGTGGTGTACATTAATGGTGATCACAGAATCACAGATGTTTATTTGAACGATGGTCTTTGGCACTTTTTCTGTCTGACATGGGCTAGCAGAGAGGGTTCCTATAAGATGTATGTCGACGGAAGTCTCGTACAGAGCGGACACGGGCTAGCCAATAACACCTACATTCAAGGTGCGTCATTTTGCTCGTCTACTAAATATAATAATTTTATTAGTAGTATGTAATCCGCCGGTTCTGGACCAGATTTTGGGCACGACAAAAATTTTTACTTTTCTTCAAATATTCACTATATTTTAATCATTTAATTCAAAAACTAGTAATTTTACCCCATTATTACATGAATTTCATCAATCCGATCACAACGATAATTATACATATATTCTGGATCACCTCCGTTCACAAAAAAACCCTCCTTTAAATATATATAAAAATTTCAAAAATCCTTCACCATTTTCATGCAGGATTTATTTAAGTAGTTTTAAATATTTTTTTACAAATAAATGACTATGGATTTTACCAACCTAAATAATAAAACCCATTACAAACCTTTCATGAATTTCAAAGATTTAAAAGTTGATCAAAAATATAAAATTACAGATATCAACACATTAAATTACGGAAATAGAATAGTAGTAGAAACAGATGATTTTAAATGTGTCTTACCGCCAAGATTCTACAATCAATTCATGAAAAATAATCTTCTAGAAACTTGCAAAGACTGTTTAGCCAATAATGATATCTTCATAACAAATACTGGAACTAATTTAAAATTTACTTAAAGATTATATCCAAGGTGTGTGATGGTAATAAAAACAATTTTCAAAATTCACTTTGTAAACCAAAGGTTTTTATCAAATTTAACGGATTTTCACCAGTGTCCCAAATTTTTAAGTTGATAACCTCACTTATAACCAGAAGTACAAGATGCACTAAAAATTTTTTAGTGCTCTTAGTGGTAAAAAGGTAACACAACACCTACTAATGTTTTAGACAGTTTCTGCATAACCATTTAATTTCATTTTCTTAACGTATTTCTCTCTTGGCAAATACGTTAAATTTTTTATAAATTCAGTTTCTTTAATGAACACATCATCTTCTTTTAATTTTCCAGCTTTGAATTCTAATAAAAGTTGTTTATAGAATTTGTATCCCATTTTAAAAACTTCTTTTTTCTCTCCAATATTCATAGATTTTTCGATAATTTCAACAATTATAACACCTAATGAAAGTGATGCTAATGGTAAAAAAGCAAAAGCTGTTAAACCAGATGCTCCAAATACTGATTTGGTAAAAAATAATAATGAATTTAATTTTGAAAAATCTTTATAACTTCTTCTATAAACATAAATTTGTTTTTCAAGGTAAACATCCATTTATATACCTAGATATTCTATCTTCATTAAAATCACTAGGTTTTTGTTCAAAACTATATAATATATCATAATAACTTTCACCTTTATTTAATCTTTTAATAAAGTTTATACAATAAAATCCACACATCATTGAGTCATTTGTTTGTAATTGTGAAGAGTTATACATAATTTTTTTTCCAGAGGTTTCCAAATATTTTTGTATATTTTTAGGTGGACACAGTCCAAAGCTATCAAAATAATAAACATATTTTTTATTATTAAAGTACGCAACCCAATGACTCCCCGAATCAATATAACGTTGAAAATTAACTATACCACATTCATTTTTTAAAATTTTTGAAGGTAATGTATCAATCGCAAAAACACCTCGAAAATTTGATTCATTTTTCAAAATGTCTTCAATTTCTATATTGCTTAACCCCTTTTTCCAGGTATTCTTATACCCGTTCCATACGCTCGCGGATAAGTCAGCTTGCCTGACGCTAAAAAAGAATTTTTCTTAGATTTACACACAGTACAATTACCTTTAACCATTGGCTTATTGTTTTTACTTAATTCATTTTTAATATTATCAGTGGATGTTTTACTTTTACATTTCAAACAATAAAGATTCATTTATTATAATAAAATTTTAGAGGCACGGAATTCCTATCCCTAGAATTAATAAAGGAATTTAATAAATTTTCCTCGGCCGGAATTCCGACTAAGGGAAATTTAGAAAAAAACAAAGAAATAAAATTAATTAGCGACCCCAGATCTGGGGTAGGTGTTTATTCAATAAAAATTTCCTTACCTAGAATTTTAACATTTAATAATTTTTCACTTTCGACAACAGCGTATAAATAATAATTTTCCGTCGGAGCATCTCTCAATTTCCAATTTATTACAAGCTCTGAACTAGAAGTACTCTCAAGATCGCCCTTTTCCTCCTTAGTCAAATCAAAATAGATTATTGGGTATAAATTTGCAAAATCTTTATAAGAAACACAAGTACCTTCATCCATATCATTCTTCAATCCAGCATTCAAAAACTCAACGTACAATCTCATATAATCTAAATTTTTAGGATTAAAATTAGTTTCAAAGGGTTTAGTAGGAAATTGTTTATTGTTAATATTAATATAAATTCTTTCCATATTCATATTATCAAATATCATTAACGAATTTTTGTAATTAGATTCTCTTCCTACTTTTGAAAATACAACATAAATTCCGCTAACTTTATTTTGCGTGTTTGTAATTCTCCACGTGCCATCAATTGCCGTTTGTAATGTAGATCTATAACCATTTACATAATTAAAACCATATTGTGTAGTGGTATTTGAAGCTAATAAATCTGTTAGATTTTCTCTAATTTGTAATGACGGTTCGACTTCAGGGATCCATATTGATAAATAGGTAATTTTATAACCATATTCAAGATCATTAACAGCGTGTAAAATATTTTTATAATCGTTTTTTCGTAATCTAATAATTATTTCACCATTCAATACTTTTGGAATATCTCTACAAAATCTGAAAACTTTACTTAACGGTATAAATTTTTCTAATATTTTCCCATCTTTTGTAAGTTGTAATCTTTCTGCATATCCTTTATTAAAATTTACATTTTGTTTTAAAATATCTGTAATAATCTTCTCTGAAGCTTTCAATTGAGTTGCATCAACTGAATTTTCAAATCTGTTTATATCAGCCTTATCTGAAGTATCCATATACCAACATAGAGAGCTTGCAACAGAATCACTAACATCGCCAGAAAATTCGGTCAAATTACAAATTGTTGACGTGACTCCTAAGTTATCGATTCTTTCAATTTCCCTATTTTCATAAGTTAGTATAGCATAGGAAAAATCATTTAAACCATTATTAGAAACGGTTACTACACCGCCTCGAGGAGCAGGATCTATTTTCGATTTTACATGTAAATATGCTTTAGAAAGCAATTTCCATGTTCCTTTCTTAATAGTAATTTCATAATTAGAATTGGCTAAAATGTTTGAAATATCGTTTTCTTTAAATTCATTATATTGATAACTTTTTGTACTCCTATCAATAACAACAGACTCTGTTAAGTTCCAATAGTCATTTTGTATCTCCATTTATATAATGAAAATTATTCTAATCTTTTTAATCCTCCTCCAGCAATTAATTTCTTTATGATTTGTTTGGAATTTTTATTTAAACCTGAACCCTTAAAATGTTCGTGTAATGGTTTGTTTAAAATTTTGGCTAGTAGTGGATCTTGTTTAACATCTTCCACAACCTCTTTGAATGCAGGTCTTTTTTCACGTTTTGAAATAATATTTTTTGCAATTCCAAAAAGTTCAGGTAAATTATTTTTTACAACTCTACCAATTGTTTTTAAGACTGGCCATCCATATTTTTTTAAATATTTAAAAATATTACCACCTCTTATATCTTTTCTATATTTTAAACCCATACCATACTTAATTGGATACAACTGTTTTGTTCTCGTGATTATCATTTATTACCGCAAATATAATTCAAAAACTAAATTTTCACCATTGAAGTCAATGAGTCTATTTAATTGATCAGTAACTTGTATTCTAATATTGTAAATATAACTAGTTCTATCTAAAGGAAGATATTTTGGGTGAAAAGGTTCTATATTTATTAAGGATCCTGGGTTAACATTTGGTGAAAATGTATATAAAATATTTGAACTTTGATTATTTTTATAAGATCCACTTACTAATGAACAATGAATTAAAATTCGATCTACATCTCTAGTTATATTTCCTATATATTTAGCTACGTTAATTTTTTCTTCATATATTTTTGATTCAAAACCCAATAATTCATGAAATTTACCAATTGCAAAATCAATTTTATATTTCGAATCATTTATAGCTAAGATGAACCTATTTGTATTATCATTTGTATCAAATAAAAAAGGTAAATGATCTTCAGTAAGCGAAAATAAATCTTGTAAATAATTATTTAGCCCCTCAGCATCATAATTTCCATCCGGTATTGTTAATGTAATCCAACTAGTGCCATCAAAATATTTAAAAGTATTATTATCAAATTGTTTACTTATATTATACCATGAATACCACAATGATGCACCTGTTAAAGCAATTTCCTTATAATGTGTTAATTTAATAGGATTATTGGCATAATTTACTTCAAAATCGCTTTTATCAGAATCAATAGTTATCAGCATTTATATAGAAGAAAATATTTTCTTATGATTTGTTTTCGTAATTAATCCTAAATTTAATAATTTATCTAATATTTCAACAATTTCGTTATAGATATTTATACAATCATTACCGGCTCTTCTTGATGCAATAAGTAAATCCATTCTTTCAACCATTTCATTTGGATTTAAAAAAATTGACGCGCCCGTTTGATAAATAGGCAATTTTTTCTTAATATCCTCTAATGTTGATTTATAATTTTGTAATGCTTTTATTATACGTCGTGCTTGATTTTTCTTATCTTCATTTGTAGAGTTACATTGTCCTCCATATTTTTGTAATTCATATTTCACACTATTAATAACTAAATCTATCGCATTGTTTCGTTTAACATCATTATCAATTTCTAAAAATGTAGATGGAAGTGGGTGTTCTAAAGTATTTAACACATCTATATCTATATCTTTATTAGGATCAATAATTATGGGGGGTTTGGAAGATTTATCAACATCTTCTATCTCAGTTATTAAGGGAGGGGTAATAGCACGTGAAGGTGGTTGAGGCTCATCTTTTTTTCTTAAGTAATTAAATAGTTCTTGTTGAAATTTATTTGCTTTAACTATTTCTTGTAATTTATCAGTTTGGATTTTATTTTGGTCAATAAGAGGTTTTTGAAATTTTTCTATT